CCCGAAGGTTTTTGAAGATGGCAGCTGTGGTGGGCCCCCTCACAAACACGTTGCCATCTTTCCAAGAGATCGTTGCTCGGGGAAGAGACAACAATACCAGTTCCTCCAGCTCCGAAAGCTGGTTCGTGTTGAAGACGAGCTCTTCCAAGTCGGTAGAATCCCAAATCTCAAGCCTTCTCAGGGCTTTCATGAATCCCAAATCAACAGACGAGAGTCGAACCTGTTGAAGCTGTAGAAGTCTGATCGACGCAGACAGTCTCTGAGAGTTCAGTACAGCCTGCATGTCTTCATGCGTCATCCATGTTATAGAAAGATCGAGCTCCGTCAGCTGCCCCATGCCGTCCTCCAAGTCTTTCAGACAGAGTTGTCTCCCCTCATGGTCAATCACACCATCGCTACCACCGCCCTCCCATCCTCCTCTAAACTCATAGTTACTGTTAAAAATGTTCAACGACTGCAGCCTTTCAAGCGATGAGACCGTCTCGCGTGGGATACTCTTAAGAGACCGGGTGTTCTCCAAATCCAGTTGTCTCAGCTTCGTCAAATTCCTGACCTCCATGGGTAATGATTCCAGGGGAGTATCTGATAGATTGAGATACCGCAGTTCTACCAGTGACCCGATTTCCGGGGGGAGAACCCTTATTTCCGTAAAGGACAGATCTAAAACACGAAGGCTCGGCATGAACTGGAAAAACCCACCGGGGATTTCCTCCAGATGAGGCTCGTTGTCGTTCAGCAACAGCGTCTGCAGATTGGGGCAACGAGGCTCCTCAGGGAGCAGGCGTATCTCATTACGCATCAGAGATATCCTTCTCGCCTCCGTCCATCTTTCCGGCGTCGGCACGTGCCTCAACTGCTCCCCGGAGTTCACCAAGAAGACATTCCCTCTCTCGTCGCCTTCGCCGCTGGTTATCCACAACGCCATCTCCCGGACCGTGTCATGGAGCTTCACCAGTCTTCCTTTGACCTCCCCGTCTTCTAGCAGACAGGCAGCCTTGAGAGTGGTGATGACAACGAGGCCGCGGTTACGAGCTCTGTCAATGGAGTCGGGATAGCATCCCCTATCTAAGAGCCCTTCACCCACCCAGTAATCAATGAGCACGCTTATAACGATGTTGTGATCCTCTTGGAAGAGGGCGCAGTAGAGAAGGCACTCCTTGGCGGATGTATCTTTCAATCTGTCGAAACTGAACTTGAGAAGAATTAGAACCTCTTTCATGTCTCCGAGCTCCACGGGTATGCTCTTCAGCGCCATGAGAGCCTCTTTCCACTCGCCATGGGTGGTGGCATCCGCCATGGCCCGGCCTACGGTGATGAGGGTGATCGGAAGGCCTCCGCATTTTTGACAAACGGCTTCTGCGAGAGACCTTATAGAGCGATCATTCCACTGGTCTTCTTCCCTGCCCAGCTTTTGGCAGAAGAGCTTCCAAGAGCTCTTTCGATTTAAGAGGGGCACCTTAACTTTCCTCTTAGCGTCCATATCGTTGCACACTTTCTCTGATCGTGTGGTAAAGACTACCTTACTTCCGTTCCTGAAAGAGGAAGCGAAGGGGACGCCTACAGCTTCGAGATCTAGTTTCTCCCACAGGTCGTCCAGCAGCAGAAGGAAATTCCTCTTGGAGAGGGCGCTCAGTAGGGTGTTGACCCTGTCGGTTGGATGCTCTGGGAGGGTCTGGCCCTGGCCTTTTCCGGGGCGAGAGTAGCCCAACCGGACGGCGATGTCCTCTTGAACCTTCCGGACATCAAGCTCCTTGGAGACGATGACCCAAATCACCAGATCGAAACCGCCGGATCCCCTCGGGAGGAACTCGTTGTTGATCGCCTTCAAGAGGGTCGTCTTCCCTACTCCTCCCAAGCCGTAGATCCCGATGACTGGCGCTTCATTGTCTTCCAGGAGGCTGCGGATCTCCGACAACGTCTTCTCCGCGTCCACGATGGAGGCTGAAGAGATCGGCTGCGGAACCACCGCGGGCGGCGGCGCCTGGATGAGTAGGGGGAGGAGATTGCCCCTCTGGGTCTTCAGCCTCTGGACTTCTTTCAGGCACTCGCCAGCTTCACAACCGAGCCGATAAGAGGATCGTAAAGAAGAGCCCACAGAGGAGGCCCCCCTCTGCTGGAAGGAAACCCGGAAAACGGCCGCCCTGGACTCGATCTCCTGCACCGCCCTGAGCCAAGCCTGGACCTGGCGGGTCGGCCCCATGTCCTCAAGCTCCCGTTGTTTGATCTCCTCTTGTAGATCTTCTCTTACAACGATCAGATCTGTCATCTCCCTGTCCAGCTCCTCCGCTCTGGAGTCCAGCAGAATGAGAGTGACGATTCCACCGGCGGCCAGATTCCACACCCAGGAGACGGCTTCCCCCGTGCTGCTCTGCAGGAAATTTTGCATACCCTGCGATAACGGATCCCAGAAGAATCCCAGACAAATAAGGAAGGGATTCATGCCGGCAATTCCTACCCAGTGAGGAAGGAAGGGCTCGCGTAGAGCCGCACTGCTCACCGAACAGCTGGAAAGATAAGATAAGATGGATGAGGAGTCGTGGAGCTCAGAAGATGTAATTTTGTTTCTTGGGGTCACCGAATGGGATCCTCATCTGAATATCTTCCACCGTCTTCTACCGTTTCTCCTTCATTGACCTAACTGTTCATATCATGTGCGATCATTTTCTTCCGACTAGTCTGCAATATCTTCTGCTTCATCTTTCGGGGTGCTGGTCCCGTCTATCTGACGCGCCTCCAAGTTACCTGATTCCTTCTTCAAGTATGAGACTCTTGAATATAATCTACCCTTCGCATTGACCAAGTTATTTAAAAGTATTAAATACTTGGGTTTATTAAATAATTCTAAATTTTTATGAAGTGAAATGCAAGTGTAGCTTCTTTTCTTTACTTAATAGCCTTCTATGCTTTGCATAAATATTATTAAAATTGAAATAATTATGAGGCTTGTATTAATTAAAGGTATTATATTAGAGTAAATTTCAGTAGTGGTTTTAGAGCATTACTGGCGGGAGAGAGGTAGAGATGTCTTTGGATAATGTTCGGTCAGGTATAGCTACCCAACCCAGTTGCCAGTTCAATCACCGACGGTGAGGTGGTTCGTTGGGAGGCGATAAGTTGACGATCCACTGTTGACTTCTGGTATATTTGAACCATCCATCTCAGCCGTTCATTCTAGTGAAATCGGGAGATGGGGAACCTCTTTCATGTCTCCGAGCTCCGCAGGTATGCCCTTTAGGGCCATAAGAGCCTCTTTCCACTCGCCATGGGTGGTGGCATCCGCCATGGCCCAGCCTACGGTGATGAGGGTAATCGGAAGGCCTCCGCATTTTTGACAAACGGCTTCTGCGAGAGACATTATAGAGAGATCATTCCACTGGTCTTCTCTTTTTCCCATCTTTTGGTAGAAGAGTGTCCAAGAGCTCTCTGAATTCAATAAGGGCACCTTAACTTTCCTTTGAGCGTCCATATCGATGCACACTTTCAGTGAGCGTGTGGTGAAGACGTTCTTGCTTCCGTTCCTGAGAGTGGAGAAGGGGACGCCTATAGCGCCGAGGTCTAGTTTCTCCCACAGGTCGTCCAGCAGCAGAAGGAACTTCCTCTTGGAGAGGACCATGTCGGTTGGATGCACTGGACAAGGCAAGGGTCACTATTATAATATAAATTATTTTGAAGAAAATATACCAAAATTCTATTGAAACAGTCAAAAATTGCTTCATTTTTCTTCATTCAACTACAAAGTGAATGACCTCAGTCGAGGATCAGAAATATACTCAATAATTTATATTCTTCTTCATAAATAAGCAGCATGAGCGAGATAAAGAGGTTGCCGTCTCCTCTGGCAGAGAGGTGCTATAAAGCAAGCCAATACTAAATTTAGTAGTAAAAATTATTAAATTTAGTAGTAAGTAATATAAGGTACTCACTAGCTAAATTTCTTAAATTTCCCTTGCTACGAAAGCGAGAAAATACTGAAATGATGAGGGAATAATGAACTCATCGAGGGTCTTTGCTAGAGATCATCAAGTTTTTTTGAGGCCTCAACCATGTGATCTGAAGCTTTAGCTCTTGATTTTACAACCTATACATTACAGTGGCCGCCTCCTGCCTTCACCGATGACGCATCCACCGCCACCGTTCACTCGCCGGCGCCCCGCCGCTGAAACGCCCGAATTAGGATTTCGGCAGCGACTCCCTTAAGGGGGACACTTATTGGGCCTGACCCACCTTACCCGCCGGCCCAGCCATCAGGCCCACCAAGCTAATCCACCGCGTTGTCCCGCATCAAATAGTCTCATGATTGAGGAAGATATATTCTTGAGGTAACTTCGGGAACAGTCAAATATTCCATCTTTTGCACACTACGCCTCCTCATCTCCCTTCTGTTTCTCCACCGCCGTCTGATCTCATCAAGAGTGAGGTCAGCAGTGGGTCAAGACTCCAGTCGATTCGATCTAGTGATTTGGGTCATCGTCTCCAAGGAGCTTGATGTCCTGAAGGTTCAAGAGGACATCGGCGTCCGATTGGGCTACTGTCGCCCCGGCGAGGGCCAGGGCCCGACCTTTCCACGGCATCTACACGACAGGGCCACCACCCTGCTGAGTGCCCTCTCCCAGAGGAGGTTCCTTCTTCTGCTGGACGATCTGTGGGAGAAACTAGACCTCGGTGCTGTAGGCGTCCCAGTCTCTCTCAGGAACGGAAGCAAGATAGTCTTCACCACACGGTCACTGAAAGTGTGCAACGAGATGGACGCTCAGGAGCGAGTCAAAGTGCCCCTTTTGAATCAGGCGAGTTCTTGGAAGCTGTTCTGCCAAAGGCTGGGAAGGGGAGAAGACCAGTGGGATCCCTCCATGAAATCTCTCGCATCGGCAGTTGCTGCAAAATGCGGTGGCCTGCCGCTCACACTCATCACCGTAGGCCGGGGCATGGCGGATGCCACCACCCGCGGCGAGTGGGAAGAGGCTCTCAAGTCGCTTAAGGGTATTCCTGCGGAGCTCGGTGACATGAAGGAGGTTCTAACTCTGCTCAAGTTCAGCTTCGACAGGCTGAAAGATACATCCGCCAGGGAGTGCCTTCTCTACTGCGCCCTCTTCCCAGAGGATCACAACATCGATATAAGTCAGCTCATTGAGTACTGTGTAGGAGAAGGGCTCTTAGAAAGGGGACGCCATCCCGACTCTATTGATAGAGCTCGTAATCGCGGGCTCATCACCGTCACAAGTCTCAAAGCTGACTGCCTGCTAGAAGACGGGAACAACAGAGGATGAGAGGTAAAGCTCCATGACACGGTCCGCGAGATGGCCTTGTGGATAACTAGAGGCGAAGAGGACGAAAAGAATGTCTTTTTGGTGAACTCCGGGGAGAGGTTGACCCGCGTGCGGATTCCGGAAAGATGGATGGAGTCAAGAAGGATATCGTTCATGCACAACGAGATAGGCGTGCTCCTTGAGGAGCCCAGCTGTCATAATCTGCAGACACTGTTGCTGAACAACAGCCATCCTCTAAGGGAAATCCCCGGTGGGTTTTTCCAGTTCATGCCGAGACTTCTTGTTTTAGATCTGTCGAGAACAGGAATAAGCCTTCTCCCCTCGGGAATCGGGTCGCTGGTTGAACTGCGGCAGCTCAATCTATCAGAGACTTTCCTGGGATCATTGCCCGTGGAGGTAGGGAGGTTGACGAAGCTGAGACAACTGCGTTTGGAGGACGTCTATTGTCTGAAGAGTATCCCACGCGAGGCGGTCTCGTCGCTTTCAGGGCTGCAGTCGTTGAACATTTTTAAGAGTTACTATGAGTTGAGAGGAGGATGGAAGGACGGTGGTAGCGATTGTGTGAGTGATCATGAGGGAAGACAACTCTGTCTGAAAGACTTGGACGGCTTGGGGCAACTGACGGAGCTCGGTCTTTCTATAACAAGCATGACGCATGAAGACATGCAGGCTTTCCTGGACTCTCACGGGCTGTGCGCATCTATCAGATTTCTATGCCTGAAAGAGGTGGGAAGCTCGTCTTTTGATTTGTCTGCTTGTCTTCAGGTTATGAAAGGCCTGAGAACGCTTTTCATTGAGCATTCTACCCACATGGAAGAGCTGATCTTCAACACGAACCAGCCCTCGGAGTTGGAGGGTCTGACATTATTGCAGCTTCACTGAGCAACGATATCTTGGAAAGATAGAAACGTGTTCGTGAGGGATCTCAGCACAGGTGTCATCTTCGAAAACCTTCTGCATCTAGAGATTTCCAAATGTGCAGCATTGGAGGACATAACATGGATTAGAGGACTGCCATGCATCGAGATCTTCAGACTAAGCTGATGCTTGAAAATAGTAGAGCTGATAGTAGTTCAAGAGGTGATGAATGGCGACGTGGACTATGAAAAGGATTCTTTTTTTCCCAAATTAAAGGAGATTTACTTGCATAATCTTGTCAATTTGAGGAACGTTTGTAGGCATCCCTTGTCGTTTCCTTCCTTGGAAAGAGTGGTAGTATCAGACTGTCTAGCGCTGAAGAAGCTACCCTTTGGGCTCTCTAGTGCCAAGAACATCAAAGAGATCCGTGGTGAGCGATGGTGGTGGAATCTATTAGAATGGGACCAGAACGTCCGATCCACATTTGCACCTTATTTTTCCCCATTTTTTTAATATTACGATTTTTCTAGGGACACCAGATTTTCTTGCATTTTATGTAACATCTAAGCAATTCCAGGGTGAAGCATGCAGTCATTGAATAGGAAACTATGTGGAGAACATGAGACTAAGATGATGATTGGCTTCAAAATGTCAAATTAATCGTGAATATGATTATCCAAATAACCTTTTCTTGGCACCAAAATGTATCTAGTTACCCAACTTAGACATTGTGCTATATGTCATATCAAATTTGATTAAGTCATTGACCCAATCAGATGAAGCCTTGGAAAGTAGGCCAAATATATATCATAATCACAATAATTCTATTGATGTGATTTATAACTGATATTTCATAACAATGTGACGTGCATTGGGTATGGTTGTGAACAAAGTTTTTATGCACACTATTTATTTAAGATTTATTTTCCCACTCAATCTAATGTATGAATAAAAATATGCTTATATTTCCATTCTATTCTTATCATACCTAAGTTATCATCAGTCATCAAAGTTCTCTTGCACTTTAGATGAAGAAGGTAGAAAGTTATTCAAAAATAGTAACATTGATCTTTAATTATTCCCATACAGTAGTGACTAAATTTGGTATACTCTATATGATTTTGGATTTAATATGACTGCATCTTCTATGATTTCAAGCCTTCTCTCACATCAACTAACCGTTATAGAAGTCTCTCAAGAATGTAGTATTGAGTGTTTGTAGTTTTATTATCTTTCATGTTTCAGTGAAAAGGAGAAAATGATAAAGGTTACATTTTATGAAGAAATTAAAATAGAAAACCTTATCCAATAAATAGAAAAAAGCAATAAACGATAAACTATGTAGTACAAACAATTAATCATTCAATTTTCATTAGTTATAACATCTATGAATGGTTGGTTTTGCAATTTTTGAACACCACAAAATATGAAATGAATTTCATTAAAATAAATAAAATCAAGCATTTCTTTTTCAACATTTTTGCATAAACCTTCTCATAATTGTTTTTTGAAGAAAAAAAGTTGCACCAAGCTCACTAATGTTTTCACATTCATGTCAAAAATTAAATGTATTGTAAGAAGTATTTATCTTCAAAAGCGTGAACATTTAGTCTGATTACATTTTTTCATAAGGTTTAAGGGCACACTTGGACCTAGAAGTTTAGTTTCATTAATATTATCCTAATTAAATGTATACATTTTTTATCTTTTCTTTTCATCTTGAAGTACTTAGACCTCAATGTAAATCCTAATGAAACCAAGATTTTATAATTGTTCAACCCGCTTCCTATGTCTCTCTAAGAATACTCTATTCTTAGGTTTTGTTAAACCTATATTTAGTAATAACTTCTAAATACTATGCTCATCTCCCTAAGAATTTCACTCTAGAATTCTCTTATAGATTCATGACTTTTGGGGAGTCAAAATTGATTACACATCTTCTAGGGTCGTCTTACTTTTCATTTTCTTTAATGGATCTCATTTTTAATCTGTACTCTGATATGCAAAGTGACAAAAGTAATTGGATATCTGACGAGACTAAATCGTATGGTCGTTGAATGCACACAATTCAGTGTCAAAAAAAAGTCCTAATCTTACCAATTTATGATTAATCAAGTAATTAATTAGTATAATGGTAATTAAGGGTCGAATCCACAGAGAATTAGGGAAATTTGAGAGATATCTTTGAAATTCGATCAAATCGGACGATGAAATTAGGTTAGAAATTGAGCAATTTAGTATATTAAGAAAGACAACTCAATTTCTAATCCACGTAATCAAAAAACAGGTGATTTGCATGAGAATTCGAGGAGTAATCGAAGTTTGAAGTTAAGAGAAATTTTCGTATCGTGAAATGATTAAAAACAGAAATTAAAACTAAATTAAACTTAATCTACAATACTTAAAGTAAAATTAACACTAAATGATGAAAGATTAAGATGAAAAAAAACAATCTAACCCAAATAAGCCTTCTAAATGATCCAATTAATCGCCGGATGCAAGGCTTTTCATTCCGAATTTTCGAAGACGAAAGAGGAGTTCAAGACTTGATTTCTTCCAATTCTTTCAACAAAACATTGAAATTAAACATTCAACAGAAGAGGAAATGAGTTGCGAACACAATGCAAAAAATGGCGCGCGAATTGGAGCTCTAAACAAGGAGAATTTGAAGATTGATTGCGGCCGTTCTTCCGTCGCGAAGAACGGATTTTATAAAATTCGGAAATGATCGTGGCCGTCCGATCTGATGGAGTTATCGCGATGGACGATCGCGATGAGACGCCTCTTTACGAATCGTCGCGACGATTCGACGATCGTCCGATCCTGATCGTGCGGTTAAGATGTGATTTGACGTCCATCTGATGTGAATAATCTGGACCGTTATAACTCTCGATCAGACGGTCACGATTTATTCACTTAAGTGAGTATTTAGGCACGTGGTTGATCTCTGATCGCGTGGACCTCGATTCCACGATATCTACGCACGCTATTTGTCGCGATGTCGATCGGACGCACGAGATCACGCCACGCGTCCTGCACATAAGAAAACTTTAATTAATTTTATACATTTATGTATTATATAAAATAAATACATAAGTGTTAATAAATATCTTTTCTCTCATATTTTCACTCTTAAAACATGATTATGATCATAAATATAATTAGGATTAAAGATTGTAATGTGTAATTATTTATAATAATCCATAATTTGGTGTATTTTTAGATCATAACATGAATTTATACAAAATGATAGAAATATACTTAAAATATGATAACATGCATATATTTGTAATGATTAATGCCTTAATTTGCATTAATAATTATATAATTACATGCATAAATAGCATGTTATCAATATCCCTCCCCTTTGCCTCATAACACAAAAAAATTATGCTTGACATAAACTTTTTCATAACCGTGCACAGAAAGTTTTACTGTATTATGCTTGACATACACATTTATAAATGTTCATCTCAGTTTCATAACCTATTGACAGATATGATAAATAGTTGATGTAGTAAATCTCTCTCTCTCTCTCCCTCTCTCTCTCTCTCTCTCTCTCTCTCTCTCTCTCTCACACACACACACACACACACACACACACACACACTCACACACACACACTCCTTCACCACAAACTCTCTAAAACCTTACACTAGTTTTAGTCTTATATTATTAACTTTTAATTTCTACCACCAAAATATTTATTTAAATTTTAATAGTATTTATGCAAAACATAAAAGATCAAGAAAACTTCACAAGAAAAAAATGTATACTACTTTAAGTAGATAATAGAGGCTACATTGGTATTTCACTCTATGAAAATGTAGATCATTTTAAGAAATCTTATTATCCTAGACTAGTTTCACACCTAAAAAATGGTAACTGATATTTGTATTGGTTTCAAGGTAAGCTTGATTACATATCAGCTGTAGAGATGAGCTAGTTTTCTATTTAGTTTTAGCATTTTATATATTTTTACTTATTTGTATTAATTTCTAACATAATGGGTTGACCAAGTCAAACATGAATTGACATAGAAGGTGTTGGATCAACACATACCGATTTGGGCCAAGATAGATAGTCTTAAGTCAACATAGTATGTTCACTATTAATTAGGTTGTTATGAATGTGTAGAACAT